CCAAAATCAAGAGTCGGACACTTAGCCAACTGAGCCACCCAGGCGTGGCCCACATCTGTCTCCCTTTTTTCTTTTGTGATTACAGCCATCCCAGTAAACATCAAGTGGTATCTCTTTGTGGTTTTGAGATTTGCATTTCTGTAATAAACAGTAATATTGAACATTTTTTCACAGGCTTGTTGGCTATCTGTATATCCTCCTTGGAGAAATGTCTATTTAAGTCCTTTGCTCATTTTGGATTAGAGTTGTTTGTTGTAGAATTTTAAAAGTTCTCTATTCTGGATATTAAGCTCTAATCAGGTATGTGATTTGCAAATATTTTCCCCTATTTTGTAGACGGTCTTTTCACTTTTTGGACATAGTCCTCAGACACACATAAGTTTTTAATCTATTAAGTCCATGTTATTATTATTATTATTTTTATTCCCTGTGCTTTTGGTGTCCCATCTAAGAAACTATTAACAAAACCAGTGTTGTGAGGCTTCTGTCCTGTTTTCCTCTAAGAGTTTTATAGTTTTAGCTCTTACATTTAGGTCTTTGACCCATTAAGAGCTAATTTTGTATATGGTGTGAGATAGGGGTCCAACTTCACTGTTTTGCATGCAGATGGATATTTGGTTGCTACATTTGTTGAATAAGACCATTCTTTCCTACTGAATAGTCTTGGCCCATATAAAAATTTTGTAACATGACAGCATACACAGCAGTATTTCACATAAAAAAGACACGCTTAAAACTTAGGGATCCAAAAAAATGTCGAAGTAAAAGAATGAACACAGCCATACCAGGCAGGCAGATTCTAACTGAACAAAGTTGACATGGCTCTATTAATGTCACACAAAACAGACTGTATGGGGAAAAAAATTGTAGATAAAACAGGAAACTATATAATCATAAATGGTTCAATTCACTGGAAAACACATATTTAAGCTTATGTACATCCATTTTTAGGTTCAAATTATAAAAAGCATAATGAAAACAAAACAAATCCACCATCATAGTAGGAGATCTGAACATATCTCACTCAGTAATCAATGATGGTGTCAGCACACAAAAAATTTCAGTAAGGTAGACATATCTTACCTTAGATATGTAAGTAGACTATCCAAAGAAAATGATTAACAATCTAATTCTAATGGTACATACAGAAGACAACAAAACAACTGCAGAAAACAGTCTTTTCAAATATACAGAAGCATATGCAAATAGTGACCACATAAAGCAAGTCCTGTCACACAGATCATATTCTCTACAAATAAAACAGTTTAGTCACAACAAAAATTAATGAAATAGAAACAAATACACTAACGAGAATAAAGCTAAAAGTTGATTCTTAAAAAACATCAATGAAATCAATATGCCTCTGGCAAAACTGAACAAGAAAAGAAGGGCAAGAAGACACAAATAATATCAGAAATGAGAATATTAAAAAAAAGGAAATGACTACATATGATTCTGACACCAAAAAGATTATCATTAACTTTATGCTAATTAAACATTTAAATATATAATACTAGAAAATGTAACTTATTCAGTCTCAAAAAGATACTTGAACAGAGTAAAGACATTACTAGCATCAGATATTTTTAACAGCATACTTTAACAAATATTCACAGAACAATTAAGTATAATCTTAGAAAAAAAAAAGTCCAAGGAAGATGGAATATTTGCCAGAATTCATTTTATAAGACTATCATAAACCTGAAAACCTAGTAAAAAGAGTATGAGAACAGAAAATCAGACAGTATTGTTCATGAATATACATGTAAAAATCCTGAACTAAGTGTAAGTAATTCAGCAATTCATAAAAAGGGCAATACTCAAGTCATGCTATCCCAGGAAAACAAAATTGGTTTACATGTAGAAAACCAATTAGTGCAATTAGTTATAAATAACAGATTAAGGATAAGAAATTGTATGATGATCTAATAGTTGCAGAAAAAGTGTTTAATAAAATTCAATATTTATTTATGATATAAAAAATAAAGCAAAGCTCTTAGTTAATTTGAATAAAAGAGAACTTCCTTAACCAGAGAAAACATATCCATAAAAAAATCTATAGTAAACATTACATTAAATAGTGAATCATAGAAAGGGTTCCCTTTAAGATTAAGAATAAGATAAGAAAGGGGCATCTGGGTGGCTCAGTGGTTGAGCATCTCTTGATGTGGCTCTTTATTTCAGCTCAGGTCATGATCCCAGGGTCCTGAGATTAAACCCTACGTGGCTCCACACTCAGTGGAGCTCGGCATTCTCTCTCCCCGTCTTTCTCTTCTCCTCCCCTGCTTGCACGCACGTACTCTCTCAAAATAAATAAACTTAAAAAAAACAAAAACAAAAACAAGATAAGGGTGCCTGCTATTTTTAATCAATATTGTTCTGGAAGGTTTAGCCAATGAGATAAGAAAAGCTGCCCTTTTTAATATTTAATTGTCAATTGAGAAAACATGAAAGAATCAAAGATGATAAATATCATGATTAATCAAGGAAATGCAAATTAAAACCAAAAAGAAACACCACTTTCTACCTATCAGACTGCCAAAAATTAAGAAGCCTAACAATATCAAGTATCAGTGAAGACATTAGTACAATCTGGCATTTTATTGTAAAGTTGAAGATGTGCATGCCTTAGAATCTAGTAATTCAATGGCTATGTATAACACTTAAAAGAAAGTCATGCGTGTGTCCTCAGAAGACACACTCCAAAATATTTTATAACAGTAAACAAGTAGACACAACCCATCACATCAGATATGGATAAATAAGCTATGGTATATTCAACAGTGAAAATAATTCTAGGTATATGCAGTAACTTAGATGAACCTCAGAAATACCACCTCGAGGGAAAAAAAAGTCAACCTGCAGAAGAATACAGAAATTACTCCATTTATGTTATAAATAGGCATTCACAATTAAACAATATGCTCTTCAGGAATATAAATACAGATGGTAAACACAAAATTCATGAGCATGGTTACTCTGATGACAGAAGAAGAAGGAAGAGAATGGGGATTGGGGCGAGGCACTCAGGGGACTTGAACAAAGTATGGGATTATTTTTAACTAGAGGTGGATGTAAGGATGTTTTTATCTTAAATATTTTTTAAAAAAACATTAGATAATTTAAAGAAATTTGTACTAGGATAAACAAATTTACATCTTAGGTTGCAGAAAGCAGTAACAACGAAAACTGTTAAGACAAATGTCACCTTGAACACAAGTAACTAAGCAAGAACACTAAGGAAAACAAAGATATATAAACAAAGATATACGCTTCTAGAAATACATAACTAAGAAAGACTAAGAAAGAATACTTTGCTTAACTCATGATGGACACTAAGAGTAGATAAAGTGATGTAAGGAACTGATATGGAATACAGACCAAAAGGAAGTCACATTCAGCTTTTTTCTCAAGTTTCCTCTCTTCCCAAATGTTGCCATACCTTTCTAATTACTGAAGCAAAAGATTAACCATATTTATCTGTTCTACCAATGTCGTATGTTTAAACCATATCGTGAATGCATAAGCCAGAAAACTAGCATTACGTGCACTGTCTCCACCCTCTTTATAAATACAACTCAATTTGATACACATTTTTTATTGTCAGCTATATGAAACAATACTTCATGAAGATAAATACAACCAGAAAAATCTAAAACCCTTATTAGGTTAAAAATCTAACTTTATATTAAAATCTGTATTGTATAATACCCTAACGGCCTCTGAAAAAATAGAATATAATTCATCAGTTTGGCACCGGGTAAAAGAAACTAATAGTTTCTCGTTTCAAGTCTTTTACTACAAACTTACTTCTTCTACCTGCCCATCCTCAGCTCCATCTTTCTCTTTGTCTTCCTCCTCATCATCATCATAGTCTTCTTCTTCATCTTCATCTTCTTCAGATGACGTATCCCCAGTTCCATCAACCTGTAACACCAATGGAGCTTGTGGCTGAGCAGGCTGGGCCTGTGGTTGCTGTTGGCCAGCTGCAGTTATCTGTGCCTGTGCCGGTGTTGGTGCAGCCACTGTTGTAGGTATAACTTGAGTCTTATTTCCTGTAAATAAGATTTGCTGTGGCTGAATGATGACACCCGTCTGTGGTGAAATCCCTCCAGGAAGAGGGGCCAGTACCTAAGGCAAAAGAAACCCATATTAGAACTAGTCAGAGGACCAAGCAGCTCAGTTTCATGTGGTACACAGACAGACCTAAAAGCTGAAGAGTCACCAAAAATGACCGTATCTCACACCGTTAAAACTACCAAGGCATAAAAGGAATGTTTAACTAGTATACCGATCCACTTCCATTTTACCATTCAAATTTCTGAAGGAAAAAAGATTTTCTGAAAATAACTGTTTCATTTACTGAGCACTTGCTATGTATATGTACATGGCAGATTCTGGACTAAGAGTTACATATAAGTTTATTTATTTGATGTATAGATAGGTATAGTAACTCACCAACCTGCCAGTCACTAAAAGGCAAAATCTTAAGCTAGACTTTCTGACTTTGCTCTAATTATTATGTTACACTGCCTCCCTGTGGAGAACACCGCACTGGAAATGTGAAGTCTTAGGTCCTAGTTTTGTCTAAGATCCCAGATAGAGATGTAGCAGAGGCATGTCACTTAACCTCCCTTGGCTTTTGTCACTTCACTGTTATACTAGGATCAATGGTTCTCAACCCTGGCTGCAAATTACAACCACCTGGTAACTTAAAAAATACTGGTATTTGGGCCCCAGTCCTATTATTCTGATTTCACTGGTGTGAGCAGAAATGTAATCATTTAAAGCTCCCCAGCTGATTCTAACCATGCAACCACACCAGATCAGACAATTTCTCAAGTTCCTTTCAGCATCTGGAATTCTAAGGTAAACCACAACTCAAAAAGAACATATCAACAAATATTAATTATATCTTTTATAATAAACATATTTATAATTATACTTCTTAATAAATAAAACGCAGAGACTTCCTAGTGATAAATAAAAACAATGAATGGCAATTATTTGCCTTTAGTTTCAAGGAATGCAAAATAAAACAATATTTCTCTTAAGAAGTTTACAGATTAATGGTGCATAGGCAAAGCAATAAAACAACTCAAGAAGATAGAAGGCTTAAGGACATCTGGGTGGCTCAAGTTGGGTGAGCGTCCAACTCTTGGTTTTGGAGTTCAAGCCCTGGGCTTCATGCTGACAGTGCACAGCCTGCTTGGGATTCTCTCTCCCTCTCTCTCTGCCCCTCCCCTGCTTGCACGCTCTAATACACAAACTTTAAAGAAAAAAAAAAAAGAAGGTGTAACAGAAGTATGATATGATGTTATGAAAACACGGGGCAGAGTATTAAATTCAGCTTGAGGGACAAGGTATGGTCAGAGAAGCCTTCCTAATAGGTTAATACTTGAGTTCATTTGTGCTTGGAAGATTAGCCAGGTTTTTCCATTTGGTCAGTTGGTTGGTTTGCCTGGGGGGGCAGCGGGAGCGGAGGGAGTTGCTGGAACGAAGGCCAAAGGACATTCTAAGTAGAAGAGTAATACCAAGTGAAACCCAAAAGTAATAGCAGGAGAAAATCTGGAAAGCTGTAAATCAGATGGATTAATGCTTCTCTGATCTTACCTCTATCTTCATACTATTATACAAACATTATGTATTTATGTGTCTCTTTTTTAAAGTACCTAAGTTCCTCAAGAAAATAACCATTTCTCTTTCCTCTTTGTCTTCATAGTATAAGAGTTTAACACCTGGCACACAAGTAGATACAAATATTTAACTTTGATCTAAACAGCAGCTGAAGCAGATAACTAGAAGCATGGCAAGAAATAAACCTGAAGAGAACAAAAAAACAAGATCCAAAAAAACCCAAAGATCCTGTGAACCATGCTGAGGAGTTTAGACTTTTTCCAATAGGCAAGGGGAAATCATTATTTTAAGGATTTTAGAAAAATAACTACAAATACAGAGTAACAGGTTAGGAGGGCACAAGACTAGTCAGGGAAATCAATTAGGAGGATAACATATAGTATTAAAGTGTGTATATATATGTATATAGTGTGTGTAATTATATATATATATACACACACACATGTATATACACACACCTTCATGTTTTTTTAATTTTTTTTTTTTAACATTTATTTATTTTTGAGAGAGAGAGAGAGAGACAGAGCACTACTGGGGGGAAGGGCGGGACACAGAATCCAACCAGGCTCCAGGCTCTGAGCTGCTAGCACACAGCCTGATGCAGGGCTCAAACTCACAGACCACGAGATCATGACCTGAGCCGAAGGCGGCCGCTTAACCAACTGAGCAACCGAGGTGCCCCGCTCACATTTTACACATAGTATATAGCGTGTGTGTATATATATATATAGTACTGAGAGGATAATTGTATTTTAAGTGAGAAATTAAGAAAGCATGAACTAAGGAAATGATAAGAGAGTCTGAGAAAAGAAAACTAGTTTCAAACATATTAAGGAACTGCAAACATGTTAAAACTGCAGTCTGAAAAAAAGGAGCTATTAAGAATTGGTAGGAATTTGTGATACGTTGCATATTAAAGGTAAAGGAGGGGGAGGATCCCACACCCCACACCCACTTCCAGAAAATGTATAAGCTTCATAAGATTCATGCCTGCTCTGTTCACTCTTAAATCTCTAGTCCCTTGCAAAGACCCTGATACACAGCCACACAGTAAATATTTGTTGAATGAATACCAGATAACTTGGGAGGCTTAGGAAGCTGGAAAGTGGTGCCACTGACTGAAAAACATGTTCGGAGGGATGATGAAAGATAAGCAAGGATAATGACAACTTAGTCTTAAACATATTGAATGTAAGTTAAGCTGTGACGTATACAGGAGTAATTTAGAATGACAGGATGTATAGTATTAGAGAATAGTCTAAGCATTCGTATAGACAAAGCCATGAGAAAGAGAAAGGGAACCACCCAGAGAATTCAAACAGAAGAAGAAAAAGAACCCCATGGTGATCATAACTTATGACTCTATTACCTGTTGTATAACAGGGGCTTGTACTCCACCAGGCTGCATTTGTGGTATAACTTGTTGTTGTAGAACCACTGACTGCTGAGGCTGGAAGATATACTGGGCACCATTGGCTGCTCTGACTACTTGAAGAAGCTGGCCTAAAGCAAAACAAATATATTACAAGTTACCATTTTAGCAGTAACCATCTCAAAATAAATGAATTCATGGTAAATGTCAAACCACCAAAATGCCCTATTAATTCTCAAATATAAAGTCTAAGGTTTTATTAAGCGTTGTCACCCATACACAGCAAACTTACCTTCTTCACTTTTCTCCATGTTTTATAAATGTTTTAAAATGTTTTCTTTTCCTTACTTATCCTCCTAAAGCTCTTTTCCAATAAAGTTTTAACAACAGATTATGAGAATTGATTAGAAGTTTAAATTATCTTTACTAACACGTTAGGAGTTATGAAAGAGCAGTAAGCAAGATCAGATGTTTTCAGGGGCTCTTTGTTTTTAAAGCTTCAAGACATGAAAGCGTAACAGTTCATTAGTATCTTGAGCCAAAGCACCAGGGTACTTAGTTTCAAAACGCTTAAAAACAACCAAAGCTTGCTAAACCAATTATCATTGCCACATAATCCTAACTGTATGCATGGCTTATACACACAGAAGTGAATCCCTCTCTTTGTTGTTTTAGATGATGCAGAATCTTCAAATAATTAAAAAGCAACAATTACACGTTAAAAATATGTAGAAAGTTCTTTACAAATTTAGAATTTTATTGGCAAAATAATAAGAAATTATATAATTACGATTACAGAAAGAATACTTAAAAGCCACATAAATTCTTCCAACGTTAATATGCCAAAAATCCCAAGTAAATTTTGTCAGTTTATGCAGACATGCTATATAAAACAGAGTACTTAGTTTGATATCACAAATTTGTTCAAAGGAGTCAAGTTTAATTTATTTGGCAAGTTAAAGGTGTTTAATCTATGTAAGTATTAAATCTATGTACGTATTAATCTATGTAAAGGTGTAAAAATCTATGTTATTTCTATATGATTATACTTCATTCAATAAATAGGATTCTTATTCACAGATCAAAAGCTCAAGTGCAATTTTCATCTTCCCTACTGCATCCTCAGCAATAATTATCATTTAATGTGCAGTAGTACTTGATCTTATTTTAATAACCTAATAAGCTAAATCACAAAAGAAACACTGATTTTTTTCAATGAGGCCAAAACAAAGACTAGATGGTACAATTTTCTGAGTTATACATATAAATAATGGTGCTGTTATTCCTAATTACCTGAATTTGTTAATATCTGTTGAACAGGAGTCACGCCTGCAGGGAGTGCCAAGGTAGCAGCTGTAGCAGCAGCGCTCTGGGGCGGGGGGCGGGGGGAAGCAAAGGAAAAAAATCAAAACCACATATGGGCACAAGAGTACCTCAGTTTAACTCTGGCACATTTTAATAGTATTCGGAAGTTTATTGTTTAGTGTATACTAATACTAAAAGTTCTAGTGAGCCTAAATCCCATTTTATAAAATGATACAATAAAGACTACCTAGCCTAAATGCTTTGCGTAAGTACTTCAACTAAGTAGAGTACTATGAAGCGCCTGGGTGGCTCAGTCAGTTAAGTGTCTGACTTTGGCTCAGGTCATGATCTCATGGTTTGTGGGTTCAAGCCCCTCTTCACTGCCAGCACAGAGCCCACTTTGGATCCTCTGTCTCCCACTCTCTGCCCCTCCCCTGCTCACAGAGCGCACTGTCTCTCTCTCTCTCTCAAAAATAAACATTAAAAAAGAAAAGAAAAAGAAAATGTGTTTCTTCTTGTCATTTAATAGGCCTAAGTAATTTCTACACCTAAAGCCTCAAATTCCCACTATGTCCCCAGAATACAGCTATAGCCCCACCAGGTTCTCTTCATGAAATGCAGGTTCTGCATTTCATTTATTTTAATAAATCTTGTCTGTATAGGCAAATGAAAGGTAATCTAAGTCTGAAGAATAAGTTAACAGCCATTTACTACTGAGAAATATTATTTAGAAATACGAAGGGCCTAGAGGCACCTGGATGGCCAGTCGCTTAGGCATCCAACTTCGGTCCTGGTCACGATCTCACAGTTTGTGGGTTAAGGCCCCATGCCGGGCTCTGTGCTGACAGCATGGAGCCTGCTTCGCATTCTCTGTCTCTCTCTCTCTCTCTGTCCTTCCCCCACTTGGTTTCTCTCTCTCAAACTAAACATTAAAAAAACATATTAAGGGCTTATAATTCATATTTTATAAGATTAATAGATCTCCCTATACTGGCAAAGTGACAACTCTAGTTTCTACACATCACACATGACCCAATGACCACCTACACACCTCTGCACGTTCAAGTTGCTACCAATAAATATTTCTGGAGTGACATACCATACACAAACCATCCTTTATTGATATCTACTGAAAATTTATTCTCATATTATATGAAATAGCATTAGAATAATGCATTAGAGCAATTATTTCATAAAGAGAACCTGCAACACTGGTTTGATAGAAGATCCTGTTTTGTTTTTAATATTTTTGAAGTTTATTTATTTTGAGAGAGAGAGAGAGAGAGAGAGAAAGAGAGAAACTACAAGCAGGGAGGGCAGAGAGAGGGAAGATACGAAGAAAGCTCCACACTGTCAGCACAGAGCTGACAGATGGAGGCTTGAGCTGACTAACTAGGAGATCATGACCTGAGCCAAAACCAAGAGTCGAGCACATACCCAACTGAGCCACCCTGGTACCCTGATCTTGTTTTGTAATTTCTCTGAAATACCTTTCTACCTAATATATTACCACTATCCTCCATTCTTACTGAATTACTTAACTTTTCAATGTGTTCATTTCCAAAGCATGCATAACTATTAAAAAAATCAAAACTGGGGTGCCTGGCTGGCTCAGTCAGTACAGCATGTGACCCAAGAGTTCAAGCCTCATGCTGGGTGTGGAGATTGCTTAAAAATAAAATCCTTTTAAAAAAAAAAAAATTAGAACTTTTAGAAAAAAAATTTTTTTAAGTTTATTTATTCTGGGAGAGACAGAGACAGCATAAGTGGGCGAGGAGCAGAGAGAGAGGGAGACAGAGAATCCCAAGCAGACTCTGCACTGTCATCATGGAGCCTGACATGGGGTTCGAACTCACAAAACAGTGAGATCAGGACCTGAGCCAAACGAAGAGTCAGATGCGTAACCAACTGAGCCACCCAGGTACCCCAAAACTGTTTTTAATGGCTATCTTCTAATCAGGAATAATAATGCAAACAAACAAAACCCAAAAACTTTTTATTGGTAAGGAGCCCACAGTGATTATGTTTCAGAACACATAAAATGTATGAGGCAAACACTGACTGACAACATCAAATAAAATACTAAGATACATATAGATGCTAATGCATTTTATTGATTGACGTTTCTGACCCATGATCTGTTTAAATACATGCTTTTTGGAATCAAGGAGATGTAAAAAACAGGTAAGAGATGGGCTACTGATTTTGCCCCAGTCTCTTTAAACACAATTTTAATTCAAAATTCTCTCGCAAACACTTAAAATTCTTAGAAAATCTAAGATGGGCCTACTCCAAGTGATTCTACAAAACTTGGTTTTATTTTTTTTTTTTTTTTCAACGTTTATTTTATTTTTGGGACAGAGAGAGACAGAGCATGAACGGGGGAGGGGCAGAGAGAGGGAGACACAGAATCAGAGCAGGCTCAGGCTCTGAGAACCTCAGCCAGAGCCCGGCCAGGCGGGAACTCGAACTCTGACGGACCGTGAGATGTCGTGACCTGGCTGGTCGGACGTAACGACTTCATACCACCCAAGCCCCCCAAGCACTGGTTTTAAAATGACACAAGTTATTCCCTAGGAAACAGTCTCAATAGTACCAACTGCAATATATATTGTACAGTTAGACTTTTATTTTTAAGGGTGGAGGTTAAAAAAAAAATAATTGGGGGTATTAGACCTGAAATGGAATTTTTGAATGATAAAAATTCTTGTGATTCCATAATAGACTGGAATTTTGTGATTTTCATGCAGAAAAAATTAATTCCAGCAACTTTAACTGGAAGTACAAATAGATATGCTTGATTTTTTTTGTGAATTTAAAAACTGTAATTTCCACTATAGTGCAGAAATTTGCAATTCTGTCAAGTTATAAATTTATAAGGCTGGCATATTTTAAAAGGAATCATTTGTCTAGTAGGTGAGCCCTGTTTCCTATCTGGCTTATCAATCACAAATGAGTTTGAGGTTCACTACTCATCACTCACCAAACAGAAGTGATTTTTTTTAAAATACTCCTTTTTCAGGGGCACCTGGGTGGCTCAGTCGGTTAAGCGTCCGACTTCAGCTCAGGTCATGATCTCACGGTTCGTGAGTTCAAGCCCCACCTTGGGCTCTGTGCTAACAGCTCAGAGTCTGGAGCCTGCTTCAGATTGTGTCTCCCTCTCTCTCTCTGCCCCTCCCATGCTCATGCACTGTCTCTCTCTGTCTCAAAAATAAACATTAAAAAAAAAAATTAAAATACTCCTTTTTCATTTAAAAAAAAACTATCTGAAAAAAAATCTCATTGCTGGCGTTAGGCTAAGATTTTTTTTTTTAAATGGTTCTTTAATCATTTAAATGACTCATAATTAAATGATAATCATTTAATGATTCTTTAATCATTAAATAAAAGATCTGGCTGAATTTAAGAATGAAATGTTAGAACTGAGACACCACTAACAGTCTATATATTGTAAACAGAAGAAAAGTCATTTATAAGAAAGTGCTGGAGTAACTATTCTAATAAGACTTCATTTTAATGTTTTACTAAAAAAAAGCTTTAAGTTCATAGGTAAGGATTCTCTAAGGATCTGAAAAGGTTTTGAGTTTTAGTTATATGGTACTATTTTTGATGGGAAATACTGTATGCCCTAAACAAAATGTGAAAATTTAAGGACTTATGTTCAGTGAATATCCCTTAGAAATATCAAAAGACCAATACATAACTCAGCTGGTTAAAATGCACTTTAAAGTAGTAACATACACGTCGTAATAAATCTTAAAAGGCTATGCTATGGTTAAATCAGAGCAAAACTTTTTAAAAGTTTGATCTTAAAAACCGTTATCTTGAACTATGCAAATAGTTCATTTTCATTTTTAGAGCTTATAATTCTCAGCATTCCTGACCTCTTGCAATTAATGGATCTTCTGAAACAGAACTATAATTGGCACAGTATGTCTGGTAGGTCTCAAAACCTATTTTCAAAAATAGCATGGAATAAAACAGCTCTCACAAAGCACCATTCTTTTGGTATTTTCAACAGAAAACTGTATAATTTTATGAACCTCAATGTCTAAGTATCAAGCTAAACTTTAGATTTGCTGCTAAATCCAATATTTAGGAAACTAAATAAAACAGCCATTTTGCTCAAGTTTTGAATAAACTTCAGACTGTTAATACACAACATACCCAGGCATAATCACAATTTTGAGTTAAAGTAGAGCCAAGCAAAGTGCTACATTTTGAGTCTCACCATGTTTGATGCATTCATATGTTGTATCAGCTTAGAATCAGGAACTATAACTTGTGGTGCAGCAGCTAGTAAAAAGAAAAAAAAAAAAAAGACATGCAAACAAGGAACCATGAGGTTGTTTCACAATCCTAAGAATGCTATACAATGCTGAAAAATTTTTTCATATTTTCTGCATTCAAATGCATTCACCCATTTGATATCTCAGAATGTTATAAATATCTATAAATAACAGCTGTGACATACCCATCTTACACTAGAAAACATCAATGAAAAAAAAGAGTTAAGTAACAATACATAAGGACACAAGAGAATTTGGGAACATGGAGTAGTGAGACACCTAATATTTATACGTATACAGCTCTGTGCATTCTTAAACTGGAAATCATCAAACACAATTTAATCCTGTCTTGGTAGCTCAGCATGAACTATTTTATCGATATAATGATGCTACTGTTGGAATGAATTATTAACCCCTTAAGAATGAGCTAAAAAAAAAAACAACTCTAGTTTTTTTTAAACCTACAGAGCCCTTTTGTACCATTTGACAGTTGCCAGAATCTTAAGTTACTTCCAACAATGTTTTTAAAAATATAAATCAGAAATAATGGCAATATTACAGAAGTATAAAAGGAATTAAGTGTTTGATTCCGCAAATTTCAGAGAATAAATGATAATCCCATTATCCTTATATTCTCTGAGTGAAGAAAATCAAATTTTAATTTATGATGACCTAAAATCCTAGTGCCAGACCTGAAGGCAATAGGAGGAACAGTCATCAAAACAGATTAAAAGGAATAAAAACAAACAAAAAACAAAAAAAGATTAAAAGGATAAAATTATTTGATGCAGATACAAAATAAAATCAAATATTAAAAGTCATATTTGGCATAACAGTAAAATAACCCAAATAGACATTTCTACTGTACATCATTTACCATATATCACTATCAATTTTAAGTCTTAAGTATATTCTCAGATACTCTCAAATGAGGCATATGGGTACCTAAACTGTTACTTTGAAATAAAATTTTTCATATACCTTCGTTCTCCTTTTCAATAACAAGATTTACAAAACTCAAATGCTCGGAAGTTTCATAACTGAACACGTCTGTCAGGACAGAAAATACTTGTAACATGCAACAGGCCAAGCTTCTTAGCCTTTTCAGGGCCCAAATTTTCCTGAGCATTGAAATGTTCGAAGAGCTACTTCCCAAAGCTTTTGTAAAGCTTCAGTGACACAAAATCTATGAAATTACTTGCACAGTACAAAGCACTATGGACATAATCTATAAATACTTGGTTTTTCTTACCTTGAAACCAAGTGATATAAATTAAGGTATGTTATATATACACTCTTCGCTTAAAAGAAATCTAATTCAGTCAATTTACACTTACTAAATTACTAGGAAACTGAAATTTCCGATTGCCATCATTACAAAAATTCTCCAATGTTTCAGATATATTTATAAAAACTAAACTTAAATAGGTCTTTGGAGGAATAAATCAATTTCATTACGAAAGTAGATGATTTTCCCATATAAAATAATGAAACCCTTAAATAAACCTTTATAGATTTGACTTATTGTAGGAAATCCAGCATTATGTAGACTTCTCACAAGTATTAATACACTTACCTGAATATCATCTTAGGCTCTCAATTAGTTAACCAGTTGTTTATCATTACTACAAAAATAAAATCCACTTTTTATATAAAATCTGTCGGCAAATATATATATACCAATCCCTCGGCCAATAGAAAGGAAAAACCTAGAGTATTTCTCTTCTTTGAAAATGACAAATTTCAATTCCAAGCTGTAAGTAGAAAAATATACCCAGCCTCACCTTGCTGTGAGGCAGGAATAAGGACCTGCTGGGTCTGCGCTTGCTGAGGTACCGTCTGCTGTGGTTGAGTTTGCTGATGGTGGTGGTGGTGGTGATGCTGCTGTTGCTGAGGTTGATGTTGTTGTTGAACTTGCAGTAAAAGCTGTTGCTCTTCTGAATGAAATCCATCGACTGCCCTAGACTGCATTAGTTTATTCTCCCACAACTACGGTAAAGAAAAGAACATTCTAAGTGAACATCAAGGAAGATAAATCCAGACATGGACAAAACATATTTTATTAGTTTGTTCATAAAATCCTTCCATTTTCAAAACTGATACAACCACAAAATAAACCAACCCCTAATTCTTATCCAAGTGTATGCAATAACCAAAACTAATTTTTAAAGTATCAAATTTCAGGGGGGTCTGGGTGGCTCAGTCAGTTGAGCATCCGACTCTTGGCTCAAGACATGATCTCACGGACTGGTCTACGCTCTCAGAACAGAGCCTGCTTAGGATTTGCTCTCTCTCTCTGTCCCTCCCATGCCCATATTCTCTCTCAAAATAAACAAAAAAACATTAAAGAAAGTATCAAATTTCATTTTTTGCTATCTTAGAGTACTGGGGAATTTTCTTTTTATATCTTCAAACTTTCTACAGTAATTCCTTAGTAATTCCACTCAGTTTCACAGAAGCAAGTTTTTAATAATCAAAGATTATCCTTTTGTAACACCAAATCAATTACTATTTTTATGGAAATCTTTCTTTAATGAAATATCTTTTAAATTATATATGCAAAAAATAAATTCATCTTCTCTTGATTTGAACGAGAAACATTATACAGGCAATCCTCAAGTTAGAAAAGGGTAACTTTCCATCTGTCCAATCCTACACAAGGATAAAGCAGCAGCAATGCCTAAGGCTTTTAGAGGCACTCTCAACCCTCTACACCTTTTGAAATTCCCGTCTTCCATCATGACAAGAAATGACAACCCTTTTCTGCTTTTCCCCTTCTCTTTTCTCATCACACCATAGGACAGCTTTTATGATGGGGGGGGGGGGGGGGGGGGAGATCAAGACATGGGCAAAAGGAACACAGAAAATAAAGTATTTATGACTATTTCATCCTTCTTCCTAACACATTTCCTCTCTGCCAGACTGTGTTCAATCTAGAGAGCCTCAACCCTTATAAGAAACTGCCCAAGAAAGGAACAAACTGTTCTTTAAATATACAAATGAAATTTAATTCAGTCATTTTGTACACAAGCACCTACACATACTTTGTTTTCTCCCCTAAGATATGCTCTTGGAATATTGCCTAACTCACCTGAGGCTTCTATCAGATCCTTCAAGAAGCTCCCTTTACCAATACTCACAAAGATTTTTATAATCTCCTGACACTTCCAACTTCTAGAAATTCTATATTTGTAGCTACATGCTAATTACAATTCCAGCATAGGTCTAATGGCTTGCTGAAAAAGTAAATTAACAGTCAATTTCCCAAAGCAACCATTCCCCTAACAGGCTTAGTATCTAAACTTGCCTGAAGACTATTCTTACAGAGATAGTAACAATATCTATCTCCTGGTTTGCTGTGAGGACAAAATAACATATTCCTGTAGTTATCAGAGTCTAGCATAAAGTCAGCACTAATAAATGTTATTTTCATTATTATGGTGGTGGTGGTTCTTAATTGTGTAACAGAACATGACACCAGAAGTCAGAAACCCAGTTAGTCCTAGTCTGGCCACTATTTAGCTTTGTGGACAAATTATATATCTTTCTTGGGCATTTTCCTCATCTAAAAAGAGAACAAGTTCAATTACTTCTAAACTCACTTTCAGCTAAGAAATCTAAGTCTCTGAAAAATCTCAGATTGAAAACAGCTAGAGATCTTTCTAGGGTAACAAAGAATGACTTTCTGGGAGCCCAAGTTGCATCTGGTTCATCTCCATGAAGTAGGCATCTAGCATAGCACGCAGAGCAAAATGGACACCTACACGTTGAATAAAACACATTCCAACTAACATATAGTAAGGCTTCCAAACAGTCTGCACTCACCCAAACCTTCTACACTTTTGTCTGTTCTAAAACAAAACTGGAGCACCTGGGTGGCTCAGTTGGTTAAGCATTCGACTTCAGCATAGGTCATGATCTCACAGTCCGTAAGTTCAAGCCCCATGTCAGGTTCTGTGCTGACAGCTCAGAGCCTGGAGCCTGCTTCAGATTCTGTGTCTCCCTTTTTCTCTGCCCCTCCCCTCCCTCTCAAATATAAACATTAAAA